TTGGTGGCTGCACTGAGATGCTGATAGGGTAGCATGCACAGGGAGGGTGCAGAAGCTCCATTCAGCATGCCTCCCACCCTGTCCTAGGTCTTTCTTCCACTTGACAGTCCCTGAGCTTATCTCCTTCTGTAAACAAGCCATAGTAAATGAGGTGCTTTCTTTAGTTCCATGAATATTCTAGCACATTATCAGTCATGAGGAGGAAACTGAAACCCTTCTGCACTGCTGGTGGTAATTTAAATGTAGCAACTACTGCAGGAAACAGTGTAGTAGCTCTTCAAAAAATTAAATGTAGAATTATATAATCCAGCAATGGTTAGCTAGTGTTTCCAAGGTAGAGGTGCAAAGTTAGGGCATGAGGTTCATGCTGTTGGGGGAACAGTGCATTCAGCTGTTATCTTTTAGCTGTAAAGTAACCCTAGATCCAGGGACTTACGTCAGCATTAAATGGGAATGTAGGACATCTGGTTGGTGTTTGAAGAGTTCAGGACTGCTTAATTTGGGAAACGGTCACTGGTATTTGCCTTGGAATGTGGGAACAAACAGTTTATGTCTTCTTCATTGTCAGATAGGAATTACCAGCAATACCTACTGGAGGAATGACCAGTGGGGTAACACTGGCACTCACTAGCACGTTACTCTCAACAGGATTGGGGTTGCGAGGAGAAAGGGGCATCTGTGTTGTTCTCTGCTCTTGATGATACCTAGGGGAGACCTGCTTCCTCTGGAAGAGAGAATAAAACACAACAAAGACTGACAGGAACCTAAAGCAGTGGCTTTGGGCACTGGCCACATGTGAAAGTCACTTAGGAAATTGTGATGTACTCGATGTCCACAGGAGATTCAGGGCCAAGGGCTCTAGGACCAGGCAGTCATCATCTCTGGGGCCTGGTGAGGGAGACTCTGTTTTCCCTGCTCTCAGAGGAGTAAATGTCACTGCAGATCCTCAGGGGGTGGGAAGGCCGATTCACCCACCAAGGACCTCACCTTCAAACATAGTCTAGTAATAAGGAAAACCAGCCAGCACTGAGAGCTCTGTAAATCCCCTTGGCTTAATGTGTGTCAGTAATAAGGTAGGTGAGTAATTGATTTAAACATATGATTTCTCGTTTGATACAGAACTCCTCTAATTTCTAATTCCTACCCTGCAATGCTGGCTCACATGATTGGGATAATACCATTATTATGTTCTTTCATCTTGTAGTATAACAAAGAACCAGGTGGCACGATTTCAATAAAAAAATATTAAGTTCAGGTTCTTTTGTCTGTTGCATGCATCCAAAAAAGGATTTTCTTTGATAGAATAAGGCCATTATTGGATTTTAATTAAGTGACTGGTGATTATAAGAGCCACAATTTTTGGCATTTTGTATCTTGGTTTTACAAAGCTTGAAAATCTATAATGCTTTTTGGAAAACCTTATGTTTCATATCTAACCAACGCATACTCATTAGCACTAATCAGTCCCTCTCTCATGCTTTATCATCAGAATTATCTCTTTTTTGTGCATATTTCTTTCCTTTTTTTTTTTTTTTCAATGGAGACAAAAGTCCATTCCTGTGAATCTGGCTGAGAAGGATACGAGGGTGGAAGCCATGCCCAGGAACTATTCTTGGCAAAAGTGGAAACATTCTAAACACAGCCTATTTCGCACTCCTGCCTGCCTGTTCCTTCATTCCTTATCACTCAGTGCTCTTGGACCTGTAAAACCCTAACTAGTGGTTCTCTACTAAACTAGTGTAATAGTTACTTTTCTCATTCCAGTAACACAATCCCCGACAGAAGAAACTTAAGGAAAGAAGTATTTGTCGTGGCTTCCAGCTTGAGGGTACACTCTGTCATGGCAGAGGGAGCCCTGGAGTAGGAGTCTGAGGCAGCTGATCACACTGTATCTGCTGTGGTCAGGGAGAAAAGAGAGATGAAGGCTGGTGCAGTTTTTGCTTTATCCTTTTTCAGTCCTGAGCCTGGCCCGTGGAATGGTACTCCCCACATTTAGGGTAGATTTCTTGCCTCAATTAATTCAATCTAGAAACTTCCAAATGGACATGCATACCTAGATTTATCTCCTCAGTGGTTCTAGATCTTAATTCAATCACGAAACTTCCAAACAGACATGCATACCTAGATTTATCTCCTCAGTGGTTCTAGATGTTGCCAAGAAATCAATCAATATAAACCATCAAAAAATACTCCAGTACAAAACCCTTCATGTCACATGTACCACTTACTATTTCCTATGGTATAAGTACTCACTCAAAGTTTGATTTCAAACCACCAGCTAGAACTCTCCATGAAACAGGGAAAGGGCTTGTGAATTCAACTCCAGCACAATCATCAATACCAATGCTGTCAGTTTCTCCTCCCATCTGGTCCAAACCCCACTATCTCCATAGGGCTGTACAATATTTGCTGATAGATTTATATCAATCACTTTCTCTTAGCTCTCCTTCTGAGTGCTTGCATCCATCTACTCTGCAAGAAAAACAGGTGTTTTCCTGACATCGAGCAGGTGGAGAAGATATCTTCTGGAAGATTGGAAGGCTTACTTTAAAAAACATGTATGTCTGTGTTGCAGGAGGAAGAAAACATGTTAGAAGAAGCCAAAAGGGCAGCATTTCAGTCCTCTGCCTATCGTGTCCATGAACCTTGAAGCAGTCATGTGGTTATCACGAAGGATTGAGCCCATTGCTGGCCTCTAAGGTAATCTGTTACCTTTCTGTATGACTTTATTTTTCAGCCACAATTAATCACGAAACTAAGTGCAGATGCGAAATGTGGTGAAATGAGTTAGCGAGCGTACTTCACCATGTCTGTCTAATCAGTTGAATATATTTATATAAGTGTGTAAAAGTGGGTATAAGAATTAAGGTGATTCTTTCTTAATGAAAGATACTATAAATTGTGCCATGTTTTTTCCCTATCTACCAGTATTTGTTAATACTCAGAGCATCTATTCCTTGTAATCAAGTACTATGTATTTATCATACAATCGTTACCTTATTAGGCTATAATAAATGTCTAGTTAAGTGCATATAGGCTGTTTCTGTTGCAGTTTAATTACCAGCACAGTTAATTAGGCAATACACTCCATCACCATTTCTATTCAGAGGGTTTCTTGACTTTATTAAGCAGGTTTGAGAAAAGACCATTGGACCCAAACTCCTTGCGTAGGAGGCAGAGATGAAACACACAGCCGCATTGGCACTTACAGAATACCTACTATGTGTTGACACATTCTACTATTAGCTCAAAACCGTCATCATTTGAGAAAGCACTGCCTAGAGTAAGCCTGGTGGGGAGTCGATGACACTTGCATCTTTGCAGTCAGTTTAGCAGCTACGCATGGGAACCTCAGAGAGAAGAGATGGGTGTGCTGTACCTGGCAAGATGTCAGCTCCATCTCAGAACCGAGACCAGGAGCATTCCGAGATTCTTAGGGACAGGTGCTCCATACCTGATCGGTAGCCTCATTTCAGAACTGTAGCCAGAGGCCTCGGAGAACCTTAGGGGGCTAAGTTTCTATGAGGAGTGCATTTGAGAATCACCAGTAAAGCTCAGCCACACGAACACCCCTCATTGAACTGAGGAGAGAAGAGATACAATTCTATGATTAAAACACAGGCTTTTTGTTTAAGAGCCTGAAGATTATCAAGCATAATTTTCCTTAGGAAGCTTTGGATAAAAGGATTGTTGCCACTCTTTACTTCAGAGAGAATTAAAAACCTTGAAGAATTGAGATTAAGAAGGAAGGGGAAGCTGGGTGGTGGTGGCGCATGCCTTTAATCTCACCACTCAGGAGGCAGAGCCAGGCGGATCTCTGTGAGTTCGAGGCCAGCCTCATCTGCAGAGCAAGATCCAGGACAGGCACCCAAACTACACAGAGAAACCCTGTCTCAAAAAAACCACAAAAAAAGAAGGAAGGGAGTAGGGTTAGGAAATATGAAAAAGAATAAATAAGTTCTAAACCAAGAGTTTCACTAAGCACAAGAATTTTTCTGGAGACTAGTTGAAGTCATGAGGTTTGGAATAGGACCATCTCAAAACCAAGCCCCTGCTTGATGGTTAAAAGTGCAAGGGTGTTTTTCTGATAGTTGATTCTGACTGTGAAATGAAGTTAGGAATGAATGCTGCTTTCTATTGGAGATCAACAGTGAGTTAAAGTATAATGAGTGTAAAATGTCTGAATTTTCTGTAACAGTCAGCTTTCTGACACTATAACAAAATACCTATGATATGAACTTATAATGAGAATAGATTGCTCGCTGAGACCATGATTGACTGACTCCACTGCTTTGGCCCTGTGGCAAGGTAAGCAAATCCTGGTCATAGCACATGGCAGAACCAAATCTCTGAGCTCATATCATGAAATGCTAGAGAGGATGGAGTGCTGATCCCATATTCCCTTTAGGCATGCCTCTATGATTTCTCAAAGCGTCCACACCTAAAGATTTACTCCATGTTCTCTGTTCTTCACACTCTAGGAAATGTATCAGTGGTCCACAGTTTCCTTCGGCCTCCATTCCTGACTCCCTTGGTTCTGAGGCCTTCAGAAAGGAGCTGAGCTAAGCTTTAAAGTCACCCACTGCAGTGCCTATATCACGGTGCATCTCAGCCCCCACAATCATGTTACTCAGTCCCTGTAAGTTCTCTCTGTGCCCCAACTCTCCAACCATCCTGTGGGTTCTGTTCCTCGGAGGAACCCTGACAAATCCAGGAAGAGGTGAAGCTGTGTGGGAAGAGGGGTTGCTAATTTATATAGGGCATCCAAGAAAGACTGTGCTGACAAGAGGGCTTTTTATGGCCAGCTAAAGGACACGAGGGAGAGAGGGAGCAAGGTGTTTGGAGAAACAGCAGTTCTGATAGAGAGACGACAAAGTGCAGCAGCCCAGATCTGGGGACGTTCCTGACACACTGGGGAAAGAGCGACAAAGCCAGGACAGATGGGATGTGATGGACAAGCGGGAGAATCCTAGGAACTGAGGATGGCAGCGGAAAGGAGCAGAACACCAGGCTCATAAGAGGCCACTACAGTCTTCTTGGCTTTGACTTGAGTGGTGTAGGATTCTGCGTGGGTAAATGACCAGACTGGAATTGGAAAGAAGTGTGGTAGGAGAGAGAGAAGATGTTTAAGGGGCCTGGGGGTTATGACCAGTACAGTTTTTCCCTTGTCGTTTAAAACAGCAAATTTGTGTCAAACTGGTCCTTTTTTTCCTTTTCTCTTTATTTTTCTTTCATATATTACTCCCAGACTGCAGATTCCCCTCCCTCCTCTCATTGGGTATTTTTCTCAGTCACGTTTAGTTCTATCCTAGGTTTCTGGGCCACCCAGACTCTGGTTCCTAGCCATCCAAGCAGTGTCAGATGTTGGCTCCCTCCCACGGCATGAGTCTCGTGTTAGACCGGTCAGCGGTTGGCCACGCCCACACGCTCAGCACCACCTTTACTCCAGCACATCTTTCAGGCAGGGCAAGTAGTAGGTTGAAGGTTTTGTGTTTGGGTTGGTGTCCCAGTCCTTCCATGGGAAACCTCAACTGGTTACGTGTAGCAGATGGCTGATTCAGGCTCTGTATCCTCCATTATTAGGAGTTTTCACTAGAGTTACTCTCTTAGATTCCTGGTAGTTTCCATTGTACTGTTTCTACCTCACCCCTGAAATGTCCCCCACTTCAAGTCATCTTTCCTAGTACTCTCTTCTAGTACTTTCCTAGTATTCCATCCCTTACCTAATCCCTCCTGTTCCCATCCCCACCCACCCTGAGTCCACCTTGAAATATATTCTACTTCTTTTTCCCAGGGAGATCCATGCTTCTTGCCTTGAGCCCTCCTTGAAATTTGGAAGCAAATGGATGGAACTAGAAAAAAAAATCATCCTGAGTGAGGTGACCTAGACCGAGGAAGACAAACGTCGTATGTACTCACTTATAAGTGGATATTAGCTGCAAAGTAAAGAATAATCATGCTACAATCCACAGACCCAGAGAGGCTAAGTAACAAAGTGATGTCTTTATTTTGTGATTAGGTATATGAGAGTAGGATTCAGTGAGGAGCTCTGGTCTGTAATATCAATAAGGAACCCACAGGAATGGGTGCAGACACCAAAGAATGCTTATGTCCAGGCAGGCAAGCCACTCCATTTATGAGCCCTGGAGCACAAGAAAAGTGGAGGAGAGATCAGGGGGAGAGACTTGGGAAGAGAAACAAGTCACAGAGAAGAAAATCTGTGAGAAATAATTCGAAGAAATTACTTCAAGGGAGAGGGAGTTTTTGGTAGTGCTGAGCTCTGTAGGTAGATTTTAAAACAGAGATTGAGAGTTAACTGCATATTTACTGTTTAAAAAAAAACATTGTAGACCATAATGGTGTCCTTAAGAGCATTTTTATAAGAATACTGTGAATAGAACCTTAATTAGTTTGTAGTGAAAAATTGAGAGGAAGAAATTAAGTTCAGACTGTTCTCAGAAAGTGTTACAAAGGATAATAGAGAAATACTGCAATCACACAGGTGAGTGTGGGGCCAAATAATCTTTTCAAAGAGGAGACCATCAGAGTGTGTTTGTGTTTTAATGAGAATGATCCAGCAGGAACAACAATTTCTGACTCAGAAAGGAGAGAGAAGCATTCACAGAGCCAACTCAAGCAGTAGCAAAGAAGAAAATGAAGGCTGAGAGACAGCACAGTTGGGGATAAGGTACAGGATGGCAAGTTTACAAGGGCAAGACTGGAGGCATGTGGGAATGTAGCTTAGAATGTCCTGGGAAGGTGGAATCTCATTAGTCAAGTGTCAATAGTAAGTCTGCAGGATAACCATGGACACAAAGAGGCACAATCCAAACAGGAAACAAAGGGAAGGGAGTTGGAGTTCTAACACGTGGGTTGACTTAAAGGGACACAGTCAAAGGGAAAGAATGGTGACCCAAGAGGAAACAAAGAAGAACCAAAAGGACAGAATGAAATACAGGACTTTCGTCAAATGTAGTTGGACTGACATCTCTTGGTGTGATGGCTAATCTTGACTGTCAACTTGACTACAATTGGAATTAACTAAAATTAACTGGGAGAACCTGTGAGTGATTTCTTGATCTCATTATTTGAAGTAGGAGACCCATCCTGAATCCTGGATCATCTGAGGTCAGAAGATCTAAATCTAAACACTTTCTGGTGACAGCCTACAGAAGATGGAAAAAGGAAGGTTTTACTTTTTTGTATGCTTGCCCCCTCTCTCATGGGCATGTTCATCTTTTTGGAACATACCTTTGTTGGAGTGAGGACCTAGTCCCTGGAGATTTCAATGTGGGCGGAAAACTGGCCGATCTACAAGGACCTCCTTGATATTCCAGCATCAGATTGGGACTGCTGAGCCACCCACTTTTGTGGACTGAACAGTTGCTAGAGTTCTCCCTGGGCTTTCAATCAGGAAACAGCCACTGTTGAATTACTTAGAGCATGTTCTGTGGGCCACTCTAATAAATTCTATATACATACTGTTCATTCTATCCATCTTAGAGAACCTTGACAAACAGACTTGGTAAAGGTGTTAAGATTGTTAAATTAGATATCAAGAAGGAGTTTGATACATGCTGCCTATATAATATGTACACCTAGAATTAAAATACGGTTCTTATAGTATTTTCACCTTCTCTTTCAAAATGAACCCTGAACCTGGGTGTGGGAGTTGTATTATAATCTCAAAAATAATTAAAAGTTAAAATCAAATAGTTTATATGTAAAAGAATATAACACTATATAACCACAATATATTAATAAAAATAACTTCTTCTGCAGTACCTAGAAAGTTGAAGATATATTGTTAATAAATATCTAGCTGGGCATGGCAGTGAAAACCTGGAATTCCAGGATGAAGGAGGAACCAGGAGGACCTGGAATTCAAACCAGCCTCAAGCATATAGTGAGTACTGCTGTCAGTCTAGTTTACATGAGACTTTATATCAAATGGGATGCAAAAAACAAAACACAATATGTAAACAGAAACAATGCCCCTTCAAAAAAAAAAGAAAAAAGAAAACAACAATAAAACAAGTTTATTTATAAATAAATTCTCATATAAGGAACATTATGCTGCAGAATCAGAGGCATTTCATAATTATAAATATTTCAATTTATCAGGGCCTATAATCCTGGCAAAGGCAACAAACCCCAAGATCAAACTACAGAATACATAGAGTGAAAATGGACAAAACTAAGCTGAGAAATAGAAACCCCACAATCTGGATGATTGACAGACAAATAAATAAAAAGAAAGCACGGAGGCTACAATCTGTGTAACACTGTCAAATGCTTGGCCTAATTTGCTTTTTATAGAACCCTAAACTCCGCAACAGCAGATTATACATTCTTTTCAATCACATATGAATCATATACCAAAAATGACCATATGCTAGCTAATTAAATTAGTCTCAATAAATTTCAAAGAATTGAAATCATGCAGTGTACATTCCCTGAAGGCCACACATTAAATTATAAATCAACAACATAAAGATATCGAGACAGGCAAATATTTGGAAATTGAGCAATATACATCTAAATCATCCACATGCTAAAAATAAACTTCAAAAATTAAAAAAAATCAACTTAATGATAATGGAAACTCAATATGTCAGAATTTATGAAGTGTAGCTAAGACAGCGCTAAGGAAAAGTTATAAATTTAAATACTAGTATTAGAGGCAAAAATGCTCCAGAAAACCAGCTACTCACCCATCCACATCAAGAAACTAGGAAAGAAGGGGTAAGTTGGGACAAAAGTTAGAGGAAGAAAGGAGATGAAAATAAGGACAAACATTAACAAAGTATAAAAGGAGCAAGTGAAGGAGAAAATGAACAAAATTTAATTATGAATGAGTAAGCTCTATTTCTAGTTCAAGAGCAATAGAAAAGATACCAACTTGGACTAAAAGACAGGGAATTCCTAAAAATTCCACAGATATTAGAGATATAAAACACATATCTCAAACTATATTATGCTAAAAAATTAAGTTTATTGTCAACTATAACTTTGAAAACTACCCCTCCCCCGCCCCCGGCAAACAAAAGTCTTATAAATCTGAGACAACTGGCCTGAAGAGATGGCTCCATTGGTAAAAAGATATCCCATGCAAGTGTGAAGACCCGAGTCTAATTTCTAGGACCCCTCTAACAAAAGCAAGGTGTCTTAAATGTTTTAACTATATTGTGCTATGGGTGACTTCTTTTATGGTCATGACTATTTGGTATTATTAATCCTCTTGTACCTGGAAAGACAATTTTCTCTTATGATTTTCCTGAAAATATTGTCTATGCCTTTTCTATGGTGTTATTCTCCTTCTATGCCATAATCCAAAGTCTAGGTAGGTCATTTTATAATTTCCAGAGCTCTCCCATATTCTATTCAGTCTCTCAACTGCCTATAACTCCAGATCCAATGGTTCTAGCTCCTGCAGGCACCCACAAACATTGGCTGATATATTCACCCCCATATAAACAAAAAATGAATAAAATATTCTTCTTAAAAAGAATTTTGAATGCCAAATTCTTTCAAGTTTTCTTTGAAAATTGTCATGTGAAAAAAGGGAAAATAAAGTTTGTTTGTAAATCAAAAAGTAATAAATGTAACTAGATTTACTAAGAAGAAACAAAGTTGCAGATATCCTTGACTTCAAGTACAAAATTAAGAGGAGTTTATTTAAATATAACTAAAATAAATTCAAAATTAAGTAATACTAAAGGAAATTCTAAGTAAATACCAAGTAATTTTAATTCTTAAGCAAATTAAGCAAATGAAATTTTAGACCATAATGCAAAGTTGGTAGAAATTTTACCAAAGCAAGCAGAAAGCCTATCTATATCCATCTATCTATCTATCTATCTATCTATCTATCTATCTATCTATCTATCTATCTATCTATCTATC